TTAATTTTTATAAATAATAATAATAATAATAATAATAATAATTAAAGTTCATAAGAGCAGCAGGTCGACGGCGACAAGATATTGGGTCGTTCGGGTTACACACATAAGAAATTGCAGTTCGATCCATTTGTCATTCCGATTTAATTAATTGTTCTTGGCCCATTGGACAGGCACCCAGAAGGCTTATTGACTTTAATTACCTTTTGTTTCTTAAATTTCACCCACACAAAGATTATACTGGAGCCCATATTCTTAAATTTATATGAGGACCGATTCCAATTTGAAATTGAGATATCATGGACAAATTGGAGATGAATGTTCATTGAATTGTTGTGGTTAGTTGAGATTCTTATGTGCTCTATTATTTTGTTCTAATTTTTTGTCACGCAATGGTTATCAAAATCAGTCTCTACTTTTTTCTTTGAGCGAGTAAAGAAAGTATATGCGACCATGTTGCTGGTGCAATCACAGGTTTCTGAATTCATTGAGGCCCAGATTACAAAGGAAAATGTTGACAGCGAGCTACCTGCCCTATTAAGTCAAGTCAACATTTCCATTCCAGCTTGGAAAAAGCCACAAGATTAGAAAGACTTTCTTGCAATGTTTTGCTATTCTTGGTCAATAACGCAATGATATGTGAGATAACTTTTCCACGTGTCATTGTGTTATTGGATGGAGATAACAAAACAGTTCTATCCTTGTTACAAGTAAGTTTTTATGCACCTTGTTGATGCTCAAAATGGACGGCCAAGATTGAATCCAACTTAGTGATGAGGTATGATGGATGAAGGTGTTGACCTTCAGCATGTGTGTGAAGATTTGGGCAAGCGATAAATATATAGAAGACAAGATATACGAGGTTCACACTTAACGAATGAGTTACGTACACGGAGAAGTACATTCTCATTCTTATAATAATATGTATTTACATTTGTACAAGGGTTTTGACCCAAATATAAAACGAAGAAGGGAGAAGCCCATGATTAAAGATCAAGTTTAGCCTAGGGATCCTTTCCTAAGTGGAGAGTGGTCTCATTAATATTCCAATGTAGGACTCTTTGCCTTACTTAGATTTGTTTCTAGTTACTTGGTCAAATATGGTACAAACACACCTAATGGGTATGTGAAATTGAATTGTGATGGGGCATGGTTACAACAAACCATGATAGGAGGTATAGTTTGGGTAATTCGAGATAGAGTAGGGTGGATGCTCAAGACGGGAGGTATTGGAAGTCTGCTTTGTCAGTCAGCTCTTATGATGGAAGCCGAAGCTATTCGTGATGCTTTGACAAATGCTTTGAATGCGGATTTTGATCAAGCTATTGTGGAATCCGATTCACAGCAACTAATATAGATGCTTCAAGGAGTTATTCTTGTTGATGTCAAGATAGAAGGAATTATTTTTGACATCAAAACCTTGTGTCAACGGTTTGGGTCGGTGAGTTTATATACTTGGGAAATGTAATGAAGCTGCTCACTTGGTTGCAGCTTTTTGTGAGTCGAGTAAGGGGGTACCCTCTTTTGGGACCTTGTATGGCCAGAGTGGCTCTTTGATGTCTTGGTTAAAGATGTAAACCTTTCTATTCGCTTATAATAAACTTTCCTAAAAAATATATATATATA